TTTTAATTTCTCATTCACAACACAACCGATGAATTACTTAAAATAATCGTTGTTAATTTTTAGCTAAAGATCGTAAATCTTGGAACTAAGGAGCAGTTAAGTGCAAAGTGTCGTGAACTAAATGAGGCTTTTTTTTTGGTAAAAGAAGCTGAAGAACTGGCTAAGGAAAAAGGGCAAGAACTTGAAGCTTCCAAAAACTCTTGGGAGATGGAAGTTAAGCAACTAAAAGATTCACTGGGTGCTCTTCAAAACACATATGGTATTTTTTTCTAAATGCTTTTTTTTAAAGTAAATGAGATGGAAGATGTGGCCTTTAAGGAAAATTTATTTGGATTTCATAACAAGTATTTTCTGTTAGATGGGGCATTGAAGCACAACTGTGATTTGGAGGCGAAGATAACCTCGCAGACAAAGGTGGTCGCCGATCTTAATTCAGTAGTTAGTGAAAAAGAGGTTTGACACACTTTTCGAATAGATGTTTCTTTATATCCTCTAATCATTTTTAAATTTTTTTTACGGAGAATGAACGGAGGGTGGTCGCGAAGCTTGAAAAATTTTGGCTTCTATGCAGAAGTGTACAGTCAAATAATGTGATTTTAGATGTGTTTACAAAAACGGTGTTCAGAGATTAAGAAGGCTGTGGAAGAGAAGAATCACCTTGCTGAAGAAATTTCCCAGTTAGCTTCTAAAATAAGTTTTCTTGAGAAAGATACATCTGATTACTGCGAGGAAATATCTAACCTGGTACAGAAATTTTTTCATTGAAAATTCTGGCAGTTGGAAAAACTAGTATTGCTCATTTGTTGCGGGACTAGTTTTTTCAGCTTAGTAATAGAGATAAGCAGTACAGCTGTTTAACTTTGCACTTTTAATTTAGGTGTTACTTCAAAGTAACTCGAGGTTTTTATTGCAGCGTTTCGTTACTTGTTCTTCTTAAAAAATTAGTTACTGTTTTGCTGTTTTTACTTTTATTTTTATTGACTTTTTTTGTTTTTCTTTTAAATCAGCAGTGCTCTGTGTAGAATTAATGGCTCTCAATCACCGTATTGAATTCTATCAATTGTATATATTTTCTAAGCCTAGGAACATTCGAAAATTCTTTGCTGGATTGGCGAGGTAGTTAATAAAGGAGACGTCATTTTCAGAAATCAAAACTTTCTGAGTCGGATGATACAGTAACCGGTTTGAAAGCAGAAATCAAGGTTAAGGAAGCCTTTATTAAAGTGGGTATTCTTACGGCGAACAGAAATAGTTGGCTGTTGCATCAGCAACTGAAGTGATATGACTGTTACAGGAACTGAACGGTCGTTTGGAGTTTGAAAATAATGAGAAGTCTTTGGCTATTACACGATTAGAAGGGGAATTATCGGAAGCAAAAAAAAGAGAAGATAACTTTCGCCTTGAAAAAACAGAGGTTTAGAGTTTTCAATTCAGAACCTGTGTAAGATAAGGAAAGATATAGCATAAAAGTTTGAGCATCATTCCCAGTTTTTTCGGATACCAATAATGAAGTAGTCAACTGAAATGCCTGTTGAGATGTTTGTCTTTACCAAAAGCTATTTTTTAGGAACTTTCTCGTTTGGAAAAGGACTTAGTTTTGGTGAGGACTGAAGTAAAATCTCGAGTTGAAGAGTTGCAAAGGATTTTGGATGAAAAAGTGAAGTTTATTATATAATGTGAAATATTTTTTAGCATTTTAATCGTCGTTGTAGTCCTCTGTTTCTTCTTGTGTGAAAAACATAACTTTTACTTTTTTCTAATTTTTT